CACCACTCTCCTTCCCCAGGTATTTCTAGGGATATTTTCTTTGAAACACTATTCAATACTTGGTGGGGGTGGTGGGCAAGGAGGAGAAAAATTTCATCTATATAATGGCAATTTTAACAACTTAGCTCTGTGAAAATACTGAAACAAATTCAAACGGATGTTGTAAAACAAGCTGAGATATTTTAAGCAAACTATGTGACCATAATTCATAGAAATAAGCCTAATGAGAAAAACTGTAATTATGCAAGAGATTTGGCATGGAAGAGCGTTCATCAGTCATTCTGACATGAGAAGGATGGATAAAGGAAGCAGATGGATTCACCCATCTGCACAGACTCAAAAAAACAGAAAGACATCATCTTGATTATTAACTTCTTGTATCAAAATGTATCACTTGATTAGCAGGTTACAACGAACAAATGCAGAAGGAATTCATATAAGACAAAAGGCAAACATTTGTTTTCAATAGAAGCTGTTTCCCCACTTGACTAAAGGTTTACTTCATTTTAAAAAACTCACAAGGACATCAGCTTAATGTTTACATCTAGTGGGRGGAAGGGGTGGCAGTGTTCAGGTTGGAGTTTTTTTAATGTTGTAATGAATTAACTTCAAGAGTACAAGGTTTGATTTGGTAGAACTTGAATTGTCACACAGGTCATCTCTTCTTTAGAATACCAATTTGCCTCTTCTCCTCCACAGTGGCATTAGTGAGTTAAAAAAACACACATTGATGTCACAAAGTCTCCATTCAACAARCAGAAAGACAGATTCCTGTTAAGGKAGAAAAATCCAATAGTGCTGCTTCCCATGCACCAGGAACACAATTCTTCTGTTCTCTTTTGCAATAGTTCAGAGAATTATTAATAACTCTGCTGCTTTACAGCCAATATGCCAAAATCTTTGGGCTGTGTGTGTGTGGCTGGTTGTTTTGTGGGCTGGTTTAGTTTGGCCTGGTTTTTAAACAGGGATTCTCTACATCCTGGACTTTGTAACAACTGTGAGAAGAAAACYCTCCAAAAACAGAGCTCAGGTGAAGGACGATGACAGATCTTCCAGGGTCCCTCAGTTCTGGAGGTGCCATTAAGAAGCCACTATGCCACCAACTCCTCTGGTCAGTGATGGAGCCCTGAACTCCTGAGCTGTCTCCAGGCACCAGAGATCTCTGGACACCAGATCACCCATCTCAGATCTGACCATGCACCCACACCAGAGGAGACCTGGACTCTCAAAG